GCGCCTGGCTGGCGCTTCCTGCAGGCAAAACGCAGCCTGAGAATGATCTCGGGGGAACTTCCTAGGAAAAAGGACGTATTTCAGGTTGGGAAGGTGTAGACAGGGAGCGCCAGGGCTGCCTCCAGCCGGAGAGAATCCCCAGCGCGCTCCTACTACCGGCCCACGTGCGTGCGCCGGGAGGCCGGACGGCGGAGCGCGAGCCGGAGGCCCGGCGGGAAGGCGCAGGGGGCGGCCGGCAGCGGGGAGCGCGCAGCGCGCGGGGAGGAGGCGGCGGGGCTTCCCCGGGCTTCCCTCCCGGGCCGCGGGCCCCCGGCGCGGGCCCAGGGCGCGGAGGCGGCGCGCGGGAGCGGGGAGTCCCCGAGGCGCCCCTCGCTGGGCGCGGGGACGCAGCGCCGGAGCGCCGGGGCCCGCGGAGGGGGGTGGCGCTGGTTCCTCCCCACCGCCCCCGCCCCCGCCCGGCTCCCGCCTCCCGCCCCCGCCCGCGGCCTGGAGCGCCTCCCTCGCGCCCCGGGTCTGGCGAGCCGGCGCCGGCCGAGCTGCGGGAGTCGCCGAGAGCACCAGCTGCCGCCGCCCCGGAGCTGCTCCGGCCGCACCATGCGGGAACTGGCCATCGAGATCGGCGTTCGAGCCCTGCTCTTCGGGGTCTTCGTGTAAGTAGTGGCGCGCCGCGGGCGGGGCGCACGGCCGCGGGGACCCACGGACCGAGCGTCTCTGAGCCCCAACTTTGTTTGCGCCACCGCGTCCCGCGGGGCCTGGATTCGAGGTCCGCTCCCTGCCCAGTGCCCGGGATGTGTCCTGCGGGACCAAGGGAGGCCCTCTCGGTTCCCTTTCAGGGACCCTGGGCGCGGAAGGACCCGCGCGCGCCGGGCTGAACGTTGCTCCTGCCACCCCATCGTGTCGGGGAGCGGTCCCGCCGCCACAGGGGTCCCCACGCCTGCGCCTGTCGCCGGCTCCGCAGCCCTGCGCGGGACTCAGGGCTGCTCCCCTGGACGCGGGCACTCACTCGCGCCCGCATCCTGGGCAAGTTGCTCCTTGTGTGCGTTTGCAGGCTTCGCCCCTGGCCCATCGCCTGTCGTCCCGTGCCGTGCCCAGGCCCGGTCTCGGTCTCCTTCCGTGTCCCTGGCTTTGGCCCCCCCCCAGGTCCTGGTGAGGGTTTTCCCAGGAGGCGTTTGCGGTGCTTCTCCCGCTGGGAAACTGTTAGTGCGGAGGCTGAGGAAGTCGGGGACCGCAGTCCGAGGTATGGGCTCCATGTGCCCT